GTGATGTGTTTTGTGTTTTAATATTTGTCCAGTCAAACAACTCTTTTATTCATTCACTCGCTCATTCATTGACGGCTGTCATTCACTCACACACACGCACAGATACTTTACAGACTGCTTTTTACCACATTGGTAATTCCTTAATGTAAACCTGAAACATAAACATAACTCTTTTTAAACTTCTGAATTACTCTGGTTCCTGCTGCTGTGATTGTGTACCTAAACAGGGTTTTACACACCTGGAAGGAATCCAATTAAGTTCTTTTCCTGTAGCCATGCAGGCGTAACCTCTCCCCCAAGTCATAAGATCTAGGGATCCTGTCCATTGCCCTGAAATCAAATCCTTTACCATGACTAGTAGTTTGGGAGAGGCAAACACCTGAGATTTGTGCTGCTTTTCGTACCTGCTTCTTTCAGCACTGTCACAATTCAAAAAATTGATAACATATGTGGCTTTCCACAAACGTTCTTGCGGACTATACAGATTCTCCCCCTTTTTTTGTTTAGCTAACATTTCCTTCAGTATGCCATGTGCTCTTTCTACAATTGCCTGTCCGGTAGGTGAGTGTGGGATTCCTGTGACATGTGAAATTCCCCACTCTGATAGGAAATTTCTTACCTTTTCTGCGACGTACGCTGGTCCGTTATCAGTCTTTATTTGTTTTGGGGTACCAAGGGTAGCAAAACAACTTAGCCAGTGTCTCATTACATCCTTGGCTTTCTCACCTGTGTGTGCTGTAGCAGTTATGTATTGTTAATGTGTGTCTACAGTTACATGTACATATTTTAATGTGCCAAATTCGGAGATGTGTGTGACATCTGTTTGCCAGATCTCATTTGCTATTAACTCTCTGGGGTTAACGCCTTCCTGAGATGGCATGGGTGTGATTTTCTGACAATCTGGACAAGTCAATATGATATCTCGAGCCTGATTGATTGTTGTTTTGAATTGTCTCTTTAGAGAGCGTGCATTCTGATGAAAAAATGAATGGGACAATTTTGCTTGCTTTAGGACCCTGGGTATTGTGTTAAACATTGCTGCTTTGTCAGCCTCACGGTTCCCTTCAACTATTGGCCCTGGCATGTCAGTGTGAGATCTGGTGTGCATTATGTAGAAATCAAACTTTCTGTGATTGACAAGAACTCAAATAGAACGCATTTCAAATAACAGATGAGGATTAGAGACATCTCGAAGAAACGAACATTCCAGACGTGAGACTAACCCTGCAGCATAACAAGAATCAGTAACAATATTAACAGGTTGCTCAGAAAATTTCCCCAAGGCAATATGAATGGCAACCAGTTCCAGAACCTGCACAGAGCATTGGTTCATGGTCTGTACCTCTCGTTCCCATTGTCCTGTATCAGGGTTTACCCAGGTCACCGCAGTTTTTTGTGTTCTCCCAGATGCATCTGTAAAGATTGTGAGACCTTTTACTGGTTCATTTCTGCATCTGGTCATGGTTTTTAAAGGTAAATTACCGATTTCTGCCCACAATCTGTGCTTAGGAAGATTGACTGAAATGTCACCATCAAAACTTGCCAAGGAAGCTTGGAATTCTGCGTTCTCAGCCAGCATCCAATCTAAATTGTCCCTCGTGGCTGGAATGTAGATGATAACCGGATCCCTTCCGTCCAGTTCCTGTAGTAGTCCTCTGCCTTTAATGACAAGCTTAGCAAATATTTTATTAATGGTCCATACAGTTTTAGGTGGTGTGTGGGGCAGAAACAGCCACTCTAGAACTAGCAACCGGTCTTTCTCAGTTTGATCCCACTGAAACAAGACTGCAAATGGCTGGTACCTGCTGGGAAGTAAGGCTAGGCAGATTTGCAGTTCAGGATTTCTTCTGTTGCCCTGCCTATTCTCTATTGCCTTGGCACAAATGTCTAACACCTGTTTTGCCTCTCCTGTCAGAGACCTGTTAGACGTTAGGTCAGAGTCCCCCTTTAGCAGCACAAAGAGAGGATGTAGCTCCTCTGTGGTTAAGTCTAGAATAGGCCTTAACCAATTAATGACTCCCAGGAGTTTTTGCAACTCATGTAAGGTTAAAGTGTCTTTTACCTCGAGCTGCAGTGGCTGTGGGGAAATTTCTTGCTGTGTAATCCTCCATCCAAGATAGGTCCAGGGCTGCGATTGCTGGATTTCCTCTGGCGCAACCTGCAACCCTGCTTCTTGGACAGCATCAGTCAGAGCAGTAACAACAATTTGCAGTTCATGTTCTGTGGCCATGCTAATTAAAATGTCATCTATGTAGTGGTAGATTATTGCAGAAGGAAAACCCTTTCTGATGGGGTGAATAGTTTGCCACTACTGTATGACATATTGTAGGACTATTTTTCATCCCCTGATGTAGCACTAAACCTGAATTATATGGGAAAACTGTGGTTTAAACAGGTTTTAAAATGGTTTTTACCTTTTTGCAGAGTCATTGCCCCTTCTTCCCAACACCCCCACGGTAATGTTATCTCAGGAATGTCCTGGGAAGGTGTCCTGAGGTGTTTCCCATTGGCCTTTGTTAACCCCTTCCTGTGATTGGGTGTTCCTGTAAACCCCTTGAGACTTCTAATGGTTACTCTGTGAATCCTCCTAAACCCCATAAATGTAACACCCCCACAATAAACTCTCTCTCGCCTCCTCTCCACGCCCGGTGTCCTGTCTCCGTACCGGCCATGGGGCCACGTGCGGGGGGAGAGGGGGGAGCCCCTCTCCCCTCCAGGTTCAGGGTCAGAAGAGACCCCTGAAGAAACCCCTGGAGTTCCCTTTCCCCATCCTTCAAGACGTCGGAATGGTTCCTCAGATAGGAACGGAACTAGAACTGGGTCGCCCCATGTCGTGGGTGGGGAAAGGGATCCAGACCCTGAGGAAGGACAACCCAGTGATACTTTTACATGGGCTGTGCATTGTTCAAGGTCGGGATGCAAAAGCTAAACCTTGGCGCATCCTCGGGGTGTAGAAAGATGGTAAAGAAACAGTCCTTTAAATCAATTATTATTAGCGACCAATTTGCTGGGAGCATAGCAGGTGAGGGCAACCCCGGTTGCAATGTTCCCATTGATTCTACGACTGCGTTTACTGCCCTGAGGTCCTGTAGCATCCTCCATTTCCCACTCTTTTTGGGGATGCAAAACACAGGAGTATTCCAGGGACTGTTTGTTGGCACAATATGTCCTGCTTCTAATTGTTCTCTTACAAGCCTTTTCAAATACTCAAGCCGTTCCCTTTTCATAGGCCATTGGTCTACCCAGACCGGGTGGTTACTTTTCCAGACTAACTTAATCGGTGCTTGGGATGGCTGACCAATGACCCCTATTGAAAAACCTGGCTGCTTGCAGGAGGAATTTGCATGACAGTGCCAAACTGCCTGAGTACGTCCCTCCCCCACAGTGAACAAGGAATCGGAGCAACAAAAGGAGTTACCTTTGCTAATTGTCCCTCTGGTCCCAAGACAGTGAGTACTTGGGCACTCTGTATGGGTCTTTGTGTACCTCCCAGCCCCTGAATGGTTGCAGCTGGGCAAACAGTGGGCTAGTCAAGTGACCATTCAGAGTCCTTTATGATGGAAACATCAGCTCCCAAGTCCACAAGGCCTGTAAATCTGTGCCCATTAACTTGGCACGTCATGAGCGGCTGTGTGGTTGTGATGGTTGCTGCCCAGTAAACTTGTGGGTGTCCTGTGCTACCAAAGGCCCCTGAACCCTGCTCCCTCTCCCCCTCCCCTGCAGGTGACGCAGTGTAGAAGAGGATTAGTTGAGCGATTTTCTGTCTCTTTGGAATGAAACAGGGGGGTGAAGGGGTCCAGACCATTATTAGAATCTCACTATGAGAATCTGAGTCTATCACTCCACGCAGCACAAATAAACCCATTCTGGTAGTGGAGGACCTTCTAATCAGTAGTGCGTGTACCCCTGGGCTAGGGGGACCCCAAAGCCCAGTCAGGATTAGTACTACCTCTGTGGAAGTTGTGAAGACTGTGTCCCGGTTGGATAAGTCCAACCCAACGCTGACTGGGGTGGAGGGGCACAAAGCGTTGCCTGAGGTGGGGGGGCACAAATTGCCAGTTTACTCCCCTGTGTCGCATGTGTTTGGTGTGTCAAGGTGTGCGACAGTGCCCCTCCCCTCCAGTTTTTTGGCACCCTAATTGCTTTTGGGTGCTTGCGGGGTGCCACTGCTAGGGATTTCCTAGGATAATCCCTTTGAAAGTGATCGGGGGCACCACAAATGTAACAACCATTCCTGGGTCTGACTCCCTCCTGCACTCTTAATTGGGCACTCAGTGCTACTGCCAATAAATCAGTCTGATGTGCCATAGAACCAACCCCCTGACAGGCACAAACCAGTTCTGCAATGCTACAACTCCCTTTTGGGAAGGGTCTGCAGAACTCTTTTACAGTCAGGGTTCGTGTTTTCAAAAGCCAGTTGCCTGCTAAGTATTTCTCTGGTTTCCTCGTTTTCAATCTGCCTATCTAGGGCAGATTGCAACCGATCTAAGAATTGGGTGTATGGTTCTGTTGGGTCCTGTATTATTTTTGTAAATGATAAATTGGTATCTTTATCTGATGTGGGTAGTTTCTTCATAGCCCGCATTGCATGTTTAGCTATCACTTCATATACTTCTCTATTGTACCCAGTTTGTGAGTCTATTGAACGGTAGTTACCCTACCCGGTGCACTTTAGTAGGTTCCGGGTGGTTTGAATGTGGCCCGGAGGGGTTACAGCGTGGCTTTTAATCGTGTCGCAGAGCCGGCAGGGGCGACGGGCGGATGGGGAGCTGCAGTAGTTTCTGCTAGGCAGAAACCGTGCAGGTTTCGGGGGGTTTGGTGACCGCTGAGGATGTTAGAGGCGGCAGCAGTGGAGCCGCTTTTTAAGTACACGACCAAGCCGCGGCAAGTGGTAGGTAGCGGGGTTTCCCCTGACGGTTTTAAGGTGCTCCACCGACTGGGTCTCCGAGTTGCGGGGCGTCGCACCAGTTAGGGAAAAGTCCTTGCTGCGTGCGACGTACCACTGCCTCTCAGTTTGACTCACCGCTCCGGCATAAGTCGGAGTCCGGTCCGCCCTCTCCGGCCGCTTCTATCTGTCGACTTTTTCTTTTCTTCGTTCTTCTTCTCGTTCCTGTGCACTTTTCTTAATATTTTGGAGCTCCTAAACTAACTTTCCATTTCTCATACGCAATTGAGACAACGGTTTATAGACATCTTGGTTTTTTCAGTGAAAATTCCCGTCTCCACACAATCGAGACGATAAACGGAATTACCAAGTGTTTTACCTGATCCAGGATATACTAAACTGATTTAATATAAGTTTAAAAAGTCCCTGTTCGGGCACCATATGTAGGGTACTTAAATGTCCTTATATAATAAGGAAAAGTGAACAAAGAGACTTCATTTTAAAATCAGCGCGGTTTTATCCTTTAACACCATGTGACTTCTTTGTCCAATGAGGTTACCTATGTCGACGCATGCTCCCCGGGGCTCCTCTGCCCCAACACGTACCCTGTGCCTTGGACACGCCTCCCACAATCCTCCAAACGTCCAGCATGCTGAATAAAGAAGAACGCCCTTTTTAACATCTACAAATTGGTGTTAAGAAGTTTGTTTCTGCTGCTTTTAGGTATCACAACTTAGAGGACTGGGCAATCAACAACCATATGAAGTGCAACAAGGGAAAGTTCCGGATTCTGCACCTGGGATGGAGCAACCTGGGATGTACATACAGACTGGGGAATGAGATGCTGGAAAGCAGTGCCGTGGAAATGACCTAGGGGTCCTGGTCAACAGCAAGTTGAATATGAGTCAGCAGTGTGCCCTGGCAGCCACGAGGACCAACCGTGTCCTGGGGTGCATCAGGCAAAGCATCGCCAGCCTGGAGAGGGAGGTGATTGTCTCTCTCTACTCTGCACTGGTGCAGCCTTACCTTGAATATTGTGTGCCATTTTGGTCACCATAATATAAGAAAGATATTAAGCTATTAGAGAGTGTCCAAAGGAGAGCAATGAAGATGGTGAAGGGTCTTGAGGGGAAGTGACGCCTAAAGGAGCTGAGGAAAAAAAAGTCCAAAGCAATTTAATTGGGGATGAGATAAGAAAAGGATTTAATTAGGTAACAAGACACGTGCGTGCCCCTGTGTCTCAGATGTTACAATTTATAATACTGCCTGTCCAATCCGAGATTTTCTCACCCTGTGGCTTTTGCCTTGATCCACCCCCGGCCCGCCCCTGGGGAATTGAGGTGGGGGTCTTTTCGGGACCCTCTCTTCATCAATCTTCATCTTCTTCGGGGTACAGGGGGAACATAGTTAGCCAGAGTTTGACCGTACTCTGCAGTTTAGACCAAGATACAAACATTCTCCAAACAGAAAAGACCTATCTTAGAGTGAGACTAAACATGTTCTAATGGAATCCAGGGGTAGAATTGATACGGGGAGCATAGAATGGGGTTAGAGGGTTGGTAATCTATGTAGTTTCTGTGTTAAGGGTAAAGGAATGAAATACTGCTGCTTCTAAATCTACTTCTGTTATATAACTACTTATAAAACTAATAAAAATTAGAAAAATTAAAAAACCTAAAAGGACCTTAAGACATCAGAAGCCATATGAGGAGTGGTTGAGGTCACTTGGTCTCTTCAACCTGGGGAACAGGAGACTGAGGGGAGACCTCATTGCAGTCTACAACTTCCTCATGAGGGGAAGAGGAAGGGTAGACACCCAACAGGACCCAAGGGAATGACCTGAAGTTGTGTCAGGGGAGGTTTAGGTTATATATTAGAAAAAGGTTCTTCACCTAGAGAGTGCTTTAGTACTGGGACAGGTTCCCTACGGAAGTGGTCACAGCACCAAACCTGACAGAGTTCAAGAAGCATTTGGATGATACTTTCAAGCACATGGTGTGACTCTTGAGCATGGTCCTGTGCAGGACCAGGAGTTGGACTCGCTGATCCTTCTGGGTCCCTTCCAACTCGGCATTTTCTGTGATTCTGAAAATGGTTGTAGAGGGAATGTTGATATTTTTTGGTCTGTGTTTGACCCCAACCACCTGTAGTAGTTTATATTCTCCCTGTCAAGTTCACTGATAAAACAGTAAATTCATCCTTGGAGGGAGAACTTCTGTATAAACCATTTTAATTGGTGTTCTACTATTGGTTCATTGTCTGCTGAGGGCATTTGAAGGAGAAATCGAAGAGGAGGTGATGCCTTAAGCCCCTAATAGTTTTTTTATTTTTCTAATATTGGTAAGACTTGTAAGTTTTATAAGTAGGTTTGAAAAGCAGAAACCTTCCCTTCTTTGTCCCTTGTCCCTTTCCCTTTCCCTGTAGCACCCTTGTTTACACATTCCTTAACCCTCTTACCCCATTCTATGCTCCCTATATCAGCCCTACTCCTGAATCCAATAGAAATGTTTAGTCTTTTGTCAAGGCAAGGCCTAGACAGTTGACAGAACAGCATATCTGGGCCTAAACCACAGAATGAAGTCAAGAATTAGGTAACTATGTACCCTTTGTGCTCTGATGATGATGAAGATGGGATGAATGGAGGGTCCCGAAATACACCCCAGACCCATTTTAAGGGGGTGGACCCCGGGGCGGACCAGAGAAAAGGCCACAGGGTGGACACATCTGGGATTGGATGGATGATGTTATAAAATGTAACCTCTCGGGCACAGGGGCAAGTATGCGCGTGCGTCTTGTAACATCTTAGCCTTGGCAAATAAACCCTTTCTTATCTCACCCCTAATTAACTGCTCCGGAGATTTTTTCAGCACCTAAATCCCACGGCAACAGAGGGAAGGAAGGTTCGACCCCCAACTCAATTAGAGAAAGCCCCCCAAAGCATACTGCATGTGCGTTAGGGGATTTCCAAAGTTCTCACGCGTGCGTTGAAGGGATGAACTTACATAACCAAGAGGGTGGGATTGGGAATCTCTGGTGGGGTGGTACTGGCCACACCATCCCCGGGTAGAGGTGCTCAATGGATTGTATAAAAACAGACAAGTTTTCCATGTGTTGTTGGCTTGCTCTACACGAAGGATGAAGTTGCCTTTAACAGGGACACCTGCTGAAGTGGGAACCTGCTAACCCTCTGGAAAACGCAGTTGCTGCAGAGGATTTTATAGTATCTGGAGTGGGTAAGATCATCCCATAAATGGCACCTAAGTGAGTAGGGTGTCATATTTCCTCTTTGGTTTTCTCTTTCTCCCGGGTGCCCGTGTATTTCAGCCACTTCTTTGTAATAAATATCTGTTTTATTGAACTTGCAATGGTGTCATGGTTTTCAGACTTCAGTATGTTCGAACCCCTCCCTAAAACAATGGTATTCCCAAGTTTAGTATTCTCACTGAAACCCATGTGCCACTCACTTGGTCACCCCTCCCCCTCCCCCATCAGTGGGCTGGAGAGAAGAATTGGAGGCACAAAAGGTAAAGATCATGGGTTGAAATAAGAACACTTCACTGGAAACAGCAATCAGACAAGAAAATGAACAGTAACAGCAACAATACTAATGACAGATGGTACAAGAAAGAGGTGAATGATTCACACAAACCCAACAATACCTGACCACTCCCTCCACCATGTTATGGACCCCTTCTCCTTGTAAGACACTCGCTTCCCTCTGCTCCTGGCAATGATGTGAGGTGGTATAGAATAACCTCTGGGTCCTAGCCGTACCCCCTCCTGACTACTGCAAAAATTAACCCTGTCTTGGTCGGAACCAGGACAATGCCATAAAAAAGCTTACAGGATGAGTACTGCAACTAAGTTAATATTGCTGTTGAAGCCTCAGCCTCTGCATTTCCAGACTTAATGTTGTCCAGTTAAAACTTTGTTCTTTCTTTTTAATTCTGCATTTATCTACTAGAGTTTATTTGTGGTTTAGACCCATTTAGTATAGGAACGCTCTGTAGACCACCTATTAACACACACAGGAAACTTAGTAAAAGAACGAACCCTATATTGAAGACAGTAGTAACATTCAGAAATGTTATTTAGTATAGAAACATGTACGAATATAGAGAAGAAATGTACTTTTAGTAATAACATTCAGAAACAATTTAGAAATGTACTTGCATCATAAGACCTTTTCATGTATGTTATAGGTTAGAAATTCAGGAGAATTATTCTTTCCCCTGTCCCCCCACTGTAGGAAAGATGAGTTTGAATGGAAAGGGGGAAGGGAGTTAATTAGCCTTACAAAATAACTAGCTAGCCAGGCCGCATTCCTTGCTGATGGCCCATCAGAGGTTGGGGGGAGAGGGGAGGAGTTTTGGGAGGGGGTAGGTGGCTCTACTCGGAGGGGAGAGAGTCAGACTGTTTGGTTTTCTTTCGGGGACAGAGACAGGGTCTGCGTTCGGTGCATTTGGAGAGAAGACCTGGAAGCCTATCTCTCTGTTTTCCCATCCTGGTCAACCCTGACTGCTGACCTCAACTTGCCTGCGAGTTGTCTTTTGTCTCCAACCCAGACCGGTTGCGTTTTCATTGGAGAGTCTCTGTGCTCGTTGGAAGAAAAGGAGGAGTTTTTGGGGCGTCATCAACTGAGAACAACAGTGAGTCCTGTTGGGGGTGAACTGCTTTCCTTTCCCCTTCCTTCCATTGGGGGAAGGGTCCCCCATCTTCTTTTCGGCTTCTTCCGAGACCACCCCCCCAGACCCCTCTCCCCACGTGGTGACCTCCACTGATCCAACAACCCCCCCTGCAGACCACAACGGAGTACTGCAGGTTCTGTACCTCCAGTGATCCAACAGTGGTCCCTGCAGGCCACGACAGAGTACTGCAGGTTCTACACCTCCAGAACCCAACAACGCCCCCTGCAGGCCACGACAGAGAACTGCAGGTTCTACATCTCCAGTGATCCAACAGTGCCCCCTGCCAACCGTGATTAGAACTGCGCTAGAAGACAGAGAAGTAGTCAGACTTTGTTTTCTTTTGTTTGAAGGGAACTTCTGGGTACAGGACTACTGTTTAGCTGTTTTTACATTCTGTTACTGTTCTTGCCAATATACATATATCTTTTAATAAAGGGTTTCTTCCACACTTTCTTGATTAAAACCTCTTAATTTTTGAATTTACAATTGCTGAGAGAGAGGAGTTTGGTCTGTCTCATAACTCATCCTCTTTAACAAACATTCCAGTCTCTTCAAACTGAGACAATGTATTTCCACAGGTAAAATCCACAGTTTTTCATTTAGGGCAACTCAACTGACTTTTCAACAACCAGTGTGCTATGTACAAGAATTATAGTTAAAAAAGTAACAAAAAAACCCCAAGTTATTTTTTCACAGATGTCATGACTTGGATTTTAAAGGCAGGAAGTGGAGAACTTTTACTTAAGTTGAACAAAACATTTCACAACATCTGTGCAGATGAACCTTACATTAAAACCTCTTCCTACTCCCAACACACAGTGTGCACTCTTGCACCAAGATGGACTCCTGCCCAGAGTAATTTCTAAAATAAATAATAAAACTACTGAAAAGATATCAAGACAGTGACAGCAATATCATACAGACATGTAACTCCTTTTAAATTTACCCCTTATGACATAGAGGTTTGATGCCACTGGCATTACCCAACAAGACCTGCAGTAGATACCTTCTGCACAAGATAGTTGCAGTTCTGAATTTCTATGAAAATTTTTACAAATTCACTTGAACTTTGGCCTTCTTTCTCTAGTTCATCTCAACGGATAGAGTCAGAGTCTTGATTTTTGCCCCAGGACTATTGAGCACTCCTGACTGGACTCAACTCTGCTGTGACCCTGGGAAGAGTTGCTAGCATCTGCCTTGCCAACTCTGGAGCAAGTAAACCAGACTGAGAGTTTACTCACGTGTCAAGTTTTTCAGACTAGCGGTGCCCATCAACATTGTAAAGGGAACACAAAAAAATGAAAGACTTTTAGCTCTTTTTTCAAATAAAAAGAAAAAATTCACATTCCACTTCTGTAAAATGTTTGTGAGTTTTATAAAAGTGAAAAAGTAGGTTTCCTCCAAGCTAAGCACTGAATAAATTTAAAGAAAAAAACATTTCAAAGACACATTTTGCTTTCTATTTGCATTCAGGGTTTTTGTTTTTCAGAAGACTATTACCTTGGTAATATTGCACTGTGAGCTTTGGCTGCCCAGAAGATAATTTGTCCAGTGCAAGACCCATGTAAGAGAGGGAGAAACCACTCTACAAATTGATCAATGGGCTCAGTCAATGGGCTAAGGACAACTACATGAGGTTCAATAAAACCAGGTCCTGCACTTGAGTCACAGCAACTCCATGAAGTGCTACAGGTTTGGGGAGGAGAACCTTGAGAACTGTTTGGCAGAAGGGGACTTGGTGGTGCTGGTCAACAGCTGGCTCAATACAAGCCAGCAGTGTATCCAGGTGACCAAGAAGGCCAATGCCATCCTGACCTGTATCAAGAATAGTGTAGCCAGCAGGACTAGGGAAGTGATTGTTCCCCTGTACTCGGCATTGGTGAGGCTGCACCTTAGTACTGTGTCCAGTTCTGGGCCCCTCAGTTTAGGAAGGATGTTGAGGTGCTGGAGTACGTTCAGTGAAGGGCAACAAGGCTCATGAAAGGTGTCTTAAAAAGAAAAACATCTTATAAGGAACGGCTGAGGGAGTTGGGTTTGTTTAGTCTTGAGAAGAGGAGGCTCGGGGGGACTTCATTGTTCTCTACAACTACCTGAAAGGAGGTTGTAGTGAGATGGGGGTCAGTCTTTTCTACCGTCCCTGCAGTGAGAGGACTAGAGGAAATGGCCTTAAGATGAGACAGGGGAGATTCAGATTAGATATTAGAAAAGAAATTTCACTGTTAGGGTGGTCAGGCATTGGAGTAGGTTGCCCAGGGAGGTGGTGGAGTCACCATCCCTGGAGGTGTTTGAGGCATCTGGATCTAGCACTGGGTGATATGGTTTAGGGATTTAGGGGTTACAGTGGTAGTACTGGGTTGGTGGTTGGACTTGATGATCTTAAAGGTCTCTTCCAACATTGATGATTCTATGATTCTATGAAATAGTTAAGTTTGCAAGTCATCTCGAGGAATTAGCACTATACAAGGAAATGCATACTGAATGTGAAAGTGAGGGTTACAGAGGGTGTAAAGGCATTGTTGCCTTAAAATTAAGGTAGAGGAACTTGGACAAAAGTGATTGAGCACTCTAACAAGAAGATCTACTCACAGTCATTCCTTTTGCCAGGAGAAAAATGAAACCTAAGTCCTGATGAGTCTGCTGACACTGAGGATAATGAAGGGGTACCAGGAATGGTACTTGAACCTGCTGCCACTGTGTTGGTCAGAGTGCACCAAACCCTCATGTTAATCCTCCACCAACTCCCACAGCTCCCAGGGACAAGGGAGCAAAGGTGGCTTGGGGACATTCTCCTCCTGCATAGCCCTGTGAGACACTGGATTATTATATTAATGATTGGTTTGGACAAACTCAAGTGTGTGTGTGTGGGGGGGAAGGGACAGATCGAATCTCACAGTGGTGAAGTAATGCCTTGTCCCACATGCCAACCCCTGTGAGACTCCTGGTGCAGCCCCGGAACAACTGTCAGTCAAAGGCAACCCGGGAGCATACCACCCCCCAGAGCCCTTGCCCCAACCTCAGATTGGTTAACACAGTGGGAACCGCAGAGTGGCCAGTGGGTCAGAAGTCCCACCACAGGTGGGGTGGCCACAGGGGGCCAGAGCAGATAAAACCAAAGACATGTGATCACCACATGTTCAAACCTACCATTTTCTAGACTCCTGTAGTTGGACCTACTCTGGATCTAGGAATGGTAGATATATTTCTCCTTTTATCTCTCTTTCTTTTCTTCTTCTTCTAATCTCCTTTCTTAATAGTTTGGGTAACTGGATACCGAATGGGTGGGTTTTTGCTATGTTGTATGTGTTAGCATGTGCTAAGTCAACCCTTTCTGGGATACTTTGTTTTGGTTGTATGTTACTGTAGTGGGTTTCTGTGGCTGGGTTTTGGTAGCAGGGGGGTTACAGGGGTGGCTTCTGTTAGAAGCTGCTAGAAGCTTCCCCTGTCCCGTGGAGCCAATGCCAGATGGCTCCAGGACAGACTTCCGGCTACTGGCCAAGACCAAACCAGTCAAGAGTGATAGTAATGCATCTGTGATAACATATTTAAGAACAGAAGTTTGTTGCGCAGAAAGAATTCCAGCCAGGGAAGAGCAGAGTGAGAACATGGGAACAACAAAGTAGACACCAAGGTCAGTGCAGAAGGAGGGGGAGGAGGTGCTCCAGGTGCCAGAGCTGAGGCCCCTGCAGCCTGTGGTGAAGACAATGTTGGAGCAGGCTGTCCCTCTGCAGCCCATGGAGGACCATCGGGGTGCAGAGACCCACCTGCAGCCCATGGAGAAGCCCATGCTGGAGCAGATGGATGCATAAAGGAGGCTGTGACCCCGTAGGAGGTCCAAGATGGAGTAGGGTCCTGCCGAAGACCTGCAACCCATGCAGAGGGAAGCCCATGCTGGAGCAGGTTTTTCCCGAGTAGGACTTGTGGCCCCTGTGGGGGACCCACACTGGTACAACTCATTCATGAAGGACTGCACCCCATGGAGAAGTGACCAATGGGACAGCAGTTTGGGAAGAACTGTTGCCTGTGGGACAGACTCATGCCGGAGAGGTCTGTGAAGGACTATGTCCTCTGGGAGGGACCCCACAGGAGCAGGGGAAGGACTCCTCTCTCTGAGCAGTGGCAGAAACAACAACTGACTGTAACCCCCATTCCCCATCCCCCTGCACCGCTGGGGGGAAGGAGGGAGAACATGGAAGGAAGGAGAGGTGGAGGGAAGGTGTTTTAAAGATTTTTATTTCTCACTCTTTGGCTCTTACCCTGTTAGTAATAAATTTAAGTACTATCCCCACTTTGAGTCTGTTTTGCCTGTGAAGGTAATCAGTAAGTGACCTCTCCCAGCTGTTATCTCAACTCATGAATCCTTTGCTGGTTTTTTTCTCTCTCCTCTGTCCAGTTGCAGAGGGAGAGTGAGAGAGTGGCTTTAGTGGGTACCTGGCATCTGGCCAGGGTCACCCCACTACAGTTACCCTTTAAACAAGTACTCTTATTTTTTCCAAAGTTTACCAGTAGAAGTATCCCCTGAGAAAATGTGTGTAGCTTTTTCTCCTTTGTGCTCTCTCTTAAGGTGCTGAAAGAACCAAAGTCTCTTCTAATAATCTGGAGGGCAGATATTGTTGGAGCCTTGTATATTTTTAAACTCCCTTGGTTGAGTTCATAGCTCAAGACAGGATCTTATAAGCCCTGCCATGCTCTGTCCAGACAGAAGCAAAGATCTGACAACCAGTTGAGAGAAATTAATGAATGCTGTAGTTCATTAAAAGGCTACTGATGGTAAGCACTGAGGTTAACAGGATGGGCTATATTAAGCCTATTTATAGCTTTATGTCACCTTCAGAGAAACATAAGAACTTTCTTCAGCAAAGTATAGTGGTCAGATAGTTACAAACTGAGACAGGTTTAAAAGAGTACCCCAGACCACCTAAAGGAAAGGCAACACAGCTAACTTCAGAGTTCAAGGTCAGCTCTTGATGTTTTCCTCTTGTGTATCTCAAACATGGGCTCATTACCTGGTGTGCAACACCAATTTACACATCAAGGTGAGGTATTTCTATTTCTTTATTCTAGTTTGTGCAAAGTAGGGAGCTGGGTGGTAACCCAAAAAAGACTAGCTCCCCAATTATCAAAACTTTACATTATTGATACATTTTAACAAACAAAGGCATCAGTACTTAAACAAGTTACATAGTTCTCTCATTAATTAATATTTTATCTTCTATTGGTTGAATGAGTCTCTTGCTTCTTATGCTAATTATTCTGCATGGTCAGTCTTTTCCTTCTTTTGAGTCAATGGGTTTCATGAGTTGGTGGACCATGAGTCAGTGGTCGCGATCTTCCCCTGTGGAAATTACCTTTTTCCCAGTTAACACTTTAGACTGGTGAGTTGGCCTTGTTTGTTCCTTCTTCCAACCCTAACTTGAGTGTTCTACCAAGTGTTATTGCGGTCTGTTAGTTCAGCATTCCTTTGTGACTGATTTCTATAGATATATAACCCTAAGTTCTTTTTTTCTATTCTTTCTTTACAGCTGCAGTTACTGAGATATATTAAGAGCATACAATGCATTTTATTGATATGTAGTTTATCTATTTGGAATCCGTACATCACATCCACAACTGTTCCCAGACTTACAACACTGCATATATCACAACTTGCTTTGTGCAGACAAGACATGACACAGAGAACTACTTTCTGATGATTGGGACACATACACACACACACAACACACACCAGTCAGATGTTTTCTGCTGTTGGATTTTATTAGACTGCGGAGTACAGGGAAGGGGGGTGCTTGTTGTTTTTATGTGACTGACACCCTTCTTGCTCATATACCCAGACCCTGCTGCACTGCAAGACAGTAACACACATTGTCACAATGACCTAAGACCTAATCCACAGCTCAGGGAGATAGAAGTGTCACAGCAGGCAATGGAGCTGCCCCTTGCCCTTCACCCTTCACACCAGGGTCAGCAGAGCAAGGATAGGGCAGGGCCCCCTGCAAGCACTCCAAGACAAAGGTGTCACCAAAATCATTGGGAAGAAATGAAACCCTCCAACACTACCTTTTAAGTGTTAGTGACCCAGGCATTACTTTATTCTGGTCAGGGATATGTAGCACATCATTCCAGCTACATATACACCTTTCAAGACTTTTCATGTATTTATACATTTTTAACAAATGAAAAAATTAATGATCATTGGTTCTAAGTTACATAATTCTCTTCATTAATTAGTATTCTATCCTCTATCGGTTATTGATCTCTTGCTTCTCATGCTGATTTGGTCCACATTCTTTAGTCCTCTTATCCTCTTTTTCTCCAACTCTCAGGCTATGATGTCTTTGTTAATCTCCTCTGTATCTTCTGGTTACTCCAACATGTTTTTGAAGGACAATAAATGTAAGATCCCAGATATTCAATCTTCAACTCCCTCAGGTTTTGTTTACTGAAGCTTATCAGAGCTAGTCCAGAGAAACTCAAAGCTTCGGTGGTTTAAAGATCAAACCGACAAGAGTGTGAAAAGAAACCTAGCCACCCGTTACCATTAATTAAAAAAATTTAGTAAAGTTATATAATTTCCAACAATTCCACCCTTCGGAAGTGATCTTCATTATTTCTTTTAAGATTACTTCCATTTAAATCACTGAGTATTCAGAAAGACTTAAGAGACCAAAATGCAATAATCACTATCAATAAAACTTATTTGGTAAAACTTATTTAAATTATCTAGCACCTTAACAATGCTAATCAAGATTCTTAACACTGTGGGAACAAATTTAAGTTTCAAAAAAATTCCATTTTACAGAGGATCCAACCATCCTTTTGAGACCTTTTTCAGTTTTAGATAAGTTTTGTCAGATCTACATATTTTGCAAATTTGAAATAAAATCCATGAACCAACCATTCATGTCAAAACTATAATAATTAGGCAAATCAAACACATCTTCCCCTTGATCTTGTATTTCATTGTACTGGTTTTAAAAACTCAGCAGGGAAAAGTTAAGACTGCTTGAGCCGGTCCCTTACAATAGTGGGGAAGGAAAACAAAGAAAACAAGACTGTGAGAGGTTAAAAACATTAGAATCACAATTTTACTGAGGTAAAACTCACAAGTAACACAATGATACAGAAAAAAATGGTTTTCCCACAAAACCAACAAAAGCAAAATATTACCTGCTCCCCCCTCCGGGCAAAACAAAAAATGGATCTCGTTCCTGCACTGCAAGCCATGTGGTCAGGGAGAACAAAGTACTGTGGCAAATAAGTTTCTGCAGTTTAACGCCCTCCCAAGTCAGATAAAAAACAACAGGGAACATGGGCAAAACAAAACCTGGAAGGTTATTTTGTCCAAAAGGGTTTATTCTGCCTGGATGCTGGCATGG